CAACAGCTGCCCCCATGTTTGATGGGAAGTGGTGCTCAGCTGTGAGTGTGGACATTTGCCTTCATCCCTCACCTTGCCACATCTGTGATGTGCTGAAGGCCTTCTGGTATTTCCAGGCTTGAGAAGCCCAGAACTGCCCAGACAAAGGTGAATAGGCTGACAGCTCAGTGTGGCCATCCTGTACCTTTGGCACATCCACAGCCTGTGGGCAGAGCACATCCTTCATTGAAGCTTCTGCTGAAACAATCCTCCAAATTATTCTGCTGTCCCAGTCCCCCTCCTACCCTTTCCCTTTGGGATTCAGCATCAACTCCTGTTGCTCAGTTGAAGCCAAACAGGGTGTTTCACCTGGACAGCAGGTTTATCTCTGCTAATCCATGGGCTCTGGAAGACAACACTATATTCCTCACAAGCCGTTGACACTTTGAAAGGTTTTGTAGAGATAATTATTCAGAAGAGCCTAACAAAGAGAGTCTCGTAGCTGAGAAACTCCCGCCACCAGGAGGCAGGGGCAGGAATGGGGGGGAATCTTCCTTCAACCATTCATGAAGCAGCCACATGTGGCAAGAAATTAATAAGGGAGAAGATGGATGCTTGGGAAATAAAACAGTGCAATGGCATAGTGCAGAAGCCTGTGGACAACTTGTGTCCTGCTGAGAGGGGCACAGGGGCTCCCAGAGAGCCACCCAGCAAACACAGGGTGAGCACCCACCTTAACACCACAAATGCCTTTGCTGATGTGCTTTGAAAGCGATGGCAGGAGGAACAGCAGAAACCCTTCCTGCTCTCCTTAACTCACTGAACAGCTTTAGAAAATGTTCACCCTAAATCTCCCACCTAAAAATAAAAAACAGAGATTTATCTAGAAAAAATGCATTGTCTAAATAACATTTGTTTTCTGGGTACAGATGCACCCAGTGAAAAACTATTTTTAAAAAGAGCATCTTTTGAACACTAGCATATAGGAAGTGGGAGGTGGCACTGAATTTCTTACAGAAAGACACTAAATAGACACAGACAGAAAAACACTGGAAAGTACTAATTTAGCTGAAAATGCACTTTTTAGGCCAAACAAAACTACTCGTGAAGTTGAGTCAAAATCAGCAAAGAGGCACCCAGATAGGAAAAAAGCAAAAGGTTAACCTGTTATATTTTGGGGTGTTAAACGACGTTTGTTTCAATTTTTAAAGGAATTATTTCCCAGGTGTGACTAAGGTAATTTTCAGAAACGTGAAACAACTTATCTAATGAAACACTCTGTCCCCTTGGAAACAATCATCTCAATATACTTCTGTGTCACTGACTATTTTTAGGTTTTGTGCTAATACCAAGTGGACCTCCTTAATTCTCATTTCGGCCATCAGAAAAAAAAAACCCTCACCATCATTCAGCAGCTCTAACACTAGGTCAAAGGAGCATCTCCCTGGAAACCCCACAAAATAGTAGGACATTCTCTAACCTGATGTGACAAGAGGCCAGCACAGATTTCTGCTCCCAGAGCCACCAGTTTGTTGCTGCTGCCGGGGCTGGCCCAACAAGATGGACAGTGTGGTGGGATCTGCAGTGGTGGGGCTGCAGGTATCAGCACAGGAAGTGCTAAGCACCAGACCTTTATTAACAAAAGACCATGTAACTGAAGTATGGTGGATTCTGTCATCAACCACGTGGAGGGAGAAAACCATGCTCAAAAAGGGAACCCAAGATTGGCCAAGGTAGGGTGCAGCCTTGTGTTAAGACACCTCTGCTCAGGATGGACAGAAACGGAGCGATGACTGATGGCACTGCTGAGGGCATGGGGAAGCCAGGGTTTGCCCAGCACTGTGAATTTATAACAAATAAAGCCAAGCTCTGCAGACTCTCTCTTGGGCAGAGATGAGCATTTCTTGGGCCCAGCAGTGTTTGGGGCTGTCCCTAAGCTGGTGGCTGCCAGCTGAGCCCAGCTTCTGGCATGAGCTGAATCCCCAACATGCAAGAAGGTGGGACAAATGCATCCGTAGGACGGTGCTGGCATTTTGGTGGGGGAGGGCTGGCTGCCCCTGTGCTCCCACCAGGAGGGAGAAGGTATTCCAATGCTGAGATGAGTTCCTGAGGAGCAGTGTGGTGCTCAAGGTTTGGCAGGCAGGGGTTATTGCTGGGCCACCACAAAGCCTCAAGGAATCAGCAGTGTGACACTACGGTTCCAGCTCAGCGGGTGCACAGGACTGCAGTCCCAGGGCAGGGATGGGGCAGGACAGAGAGGGGAGCTGCAGCTGGCATCCAAAAGCTTCTGAGAACATGCACTGCCTGTTCCTAGCAGGGTTTTGAAGAGGAAAAATAGACCAAAGGGAAGGAAAAGGTTAAAAGAGAGGGAATTTGGGGGAGGGTTTTAAGTGCTTTTATATGGAAGCTCTCAAATTCCTACTGTTGGGTAGGAAAAAGAGAGAGAAGGCAATTCTAGCAAGGCCTCAGATGCCTGAAGGATGGATTTAGTCAGTTTATAGCTGTGTGCAGGCATCCCTAAAACCTCAGCATCACAGCAAAAGCAGGTAAGGAAAACATACATTTGGGGCAAGACTAGAAGAGACCGAGCAGGGATTCACCTGAGGACACCCCATCGTTCCTCTGGTGGCCACAAAGCACTGAGAAATACCCACTGGTGTCAAGAGTCGTGCACTGGTTTAATGCACCAGCATTAAACTCCATCTGTTACACCAGTGCAATCCCATGGAAACACTTTTCTTGCCAATTGAAGAGTCGCTTAATACATTCCTAATGAACTGGATCTGAGACAGAGCTGACTAAAGTGGAAAAGAAATCTGGATTAACCCAATAAAATAATTCATTCACAGTCTTTTGCATCCCTCTAATCAGAATCATATTAAAAAGAGTATTTTATATTAAAACCAAGGAGGGAGCCCTAAGACTGCTTAACAGAAGATGTAGCAGGGTGCCACAGCAATCAACCACTGTGTCAAGGAGGGCCCTAACTACCTGTATTGCTTGCAGCTCTTAGCTATGCTACACCCTGGTTCCCAGCTGGTGCAGGAACTAGCTGCAATTTGGGAAGTCTAAAGCAGCATGGGAGGAGACAGGAAGCAGGATGAGCTGCCTGTTAAATCATGGTGTCCATCTGACTTGCTATCAAATAATAACTCTAAAAATGGAGATTACTTGTGCATAACCACACACAGTTTCTGACATCACTTTCAATTCTGAGCAGTCTGTTCTATCCCCACATTATGCAACCATTGAATCTTCCATGCTGGTAAAGTCTCATTCTCACACGCCTACATGCTATGTACCTGATTTTTATTTTAAATATCAACAGCCTACAGCAATTTTTTTAAGATAATTAATTGGTCAAAATGTTTATGAAAGGTCCCAGCTTCACATTCTGTTGTTTAAAATGAGTAAAAGCAAAAATACAAGAAGTCCAGTCTAAGAAGCAGGCAATGAAGGTAACCCAAGAGTAAAAGATAAAATGAAAATTCAAGGAACAATTGCAGATGGAACCTACCTCCAGCATGGAGATGATATATCCACATTCAAAAAGTATTCAACGCATATTTCATCTATAATCAACCTTTCTTTTAAAAGTCACTTTTATAATTGACATGTACCAAGAAAAGAAACAAATCCAAACCAAACATGGCTATTTCATATCACTGCTGGAATGCACTAGCACAGTGTTTAACCAAGCCTTCCTCTGGATTAAGCAGGTAAAAATGTCACACAAACAAAAGATTTTTCTTGAATTAATACATATCCTTCATAAACAAGACTTTCAAACCAAGTGACAGACAAAGAAGAGAAAGAAGTTGAAGGCAATCACAGGGGCAAGAGCAAAACTTGTGCTAAATTCTCCTTTCTGGCCCTTTTTACATCCCTGTCTATGATGATGTGAACTTCTCTCTCTCTGGAGCCCAGTGTATGACTTTGCATTTCTCAAAACACATTTAGAGCTGCTGAATAATCAGTTTGAGAGTATAACAACATTTTTGCCTTTTGGGTTGGGTTTTTTTTTTTGGACAGTCTAACCTGGTACCTGATTACTATCCCACTGCCAAAGATACACAAGGTGAGAATGCAGATATCCTATAGGTAAGGATTTTGATTTCCTGTGGTCGTGTCCCTGCTCAGCCTCCTGGGCAGAAACCTGCTTCTGAGCAACGCCTTCGAGTGACCTTATACTGCTTTTCAGATTAATCTCTCCTCCTTCACTACTGCAGAAGTTAATCAACAGCAATCAAGCTGCACAGAGGTGCATGTGCCCTGTGTACAAACCAGCAGCACACTGCTTTTAAAAATAAAGATCTGGTCCCAAGGCTTTGGTGGGCATTTTTCAGAGATGCACATAATGATGGAACTATATGGGTTCCAAACTGAAGACTAAAGAAAGATGACCTTGCTAGGCAAGGGAAGCTGTCCTCACCTATTGGTAAGATGCATGACTTGAAGAACTGAAATTCATTTCTACATCATTGGTTTTGCACTGTGTGGGCCCAGGCAAGCACATGCACCCTGTGCTGGAGGTTATCTGAAACCACTGGGGTTTTTTTGGTGAATCAGGCCTGATTGACATGGTCCCTAAAGATACTGGTGTTTGTGTGAAGTGATTCACTTGACTGCAGCTCATCACAGGCACATTTTGCAAACTGCAGGAGCTCCAGTTAATCTTCTCTCTGCTCCACTAAGGAATAAAAGTGGATGTTGCTAGGAGTGCTGATAGTCCAGACAAGAAAAGACTTGTTTTCTGTTTCTATGGTTGCAACAGCCCTTAAGAAAGAGATATATTTCCCTGCAACAACTAACTGCATATTCATTTTAAGGTAGATCTAGTTCCAGATTCCTGAGACAGAACCCTCTACCTGTTCCCAACTCCACGAAGCCACAGCAGCAATATAGAATTTCTAATCCCAACAGAATTCAGTGAGCAGCATGATTGGTTTGGAAAATAAACAAACAAACAAAAACCCCACAGCAAATTTTCAGCCTCTATGTACAAAAACAATGCAAACAAGTGGAACATTCTAGTTAGATTTTGTAAAACACACGTTTGGGATCAACAAAACATCAAACATCCAGACCCTAGATTACAAAAAAAATTAAAATCTATTGCGATCTAGTTGTCAACCCCAAGTTTAGACAGTCCTTGTCGGAAATCATGTAATTCATCTATCTTCCCATCTAGTACATCTAAAAAATTCTTTAATTCAGTTTTAAGGTTGGTCTGCCTATGTTTACTCTCTTCAACTTCTGTCCTTAGTGTTCTGACTTTCTCTTCAAGATCTTTGTTCTTTTTCTCAGCAGCCTTAAAGACAAGAGACAGCAAGATGAATTTAGAGAAGCAGGATGAACAACATTTCACAGGGTGAAGCAACAAATGACAGCTGGGTCATAGAAGTTTGCTTTGACTTCCACAAACTGATTAACTCAAGTACTTCTGAGAGCAAGTGATATGTGCTAGTCAGATTAAAAGGAAAGAAAGCCCACGCAGGAAAGGACACAGATTAACTGGAAAAGATGCTTTGCATCTGATTTTGTCATTTGGTTGGTATCTTAAAATTCAGCTGGATTTAAATAGTGCACTGTGCATATATTTCTGTCATCGCTACACTTGCAGAATTAAGACACTGCCACGAATTACATACAGAATTATCTATGGTGGTTTAACCTTGAAAAACAAGCTTAGCAAATACTGCCTGAGGAATAATATTGCTTTGTTCAGCACTTTTGCATTTATTATGTTTTTTTATAAAGTTCCACTTCATGTGAGCACTCAGACAAGGAAGAGGGCAGCCACGTAACACTTCCTCTGCGGCAGTTCATCCTGTCATTTTCCCCTCTTGTTAGTTCTTCTGCCTATTGTTCTCCACTTCGTGTGTGTAAGCACATGCTTATTCTCACCAAAAGCCATGGACAACACACTTTACCTTACTGATTCAAACAAAATTCATATTTCAATCATTTTCAGCATCTGCACTCCTCAGCAGCCTTCTGAATGATTTTAGATCATTTAGATTATCAGAGTGATGGCTTATTTCATTGACTGCATTTTATTTCACTGATGAGCCTGCTTATATTTGTTTCCTTTTGTGTATGCATTTATTGCATTTGCACAATCCTCAGCTTAAAAAAAATGATGCCCAAAGGTCAGGGGATGGATGGGGCAGGGCTCTGGCAGCCCCACGAGCTCTGATCCCAATGAGCACCTCCTGGCAGAGGAGCCATGCCTCACTGGACAGGAACGATGCAGCATCTAAATGCATCCCCATGTCAACCCTTTTCCCTGGAGGTGTGTACCTATGCTCATCTGCTTCTTCCCAAAAGCCTCCTCTGGGGCCACTGCAGCAAATAACTGCAGGTCTTGGGATGCTGCTCCACATGCATGGCTGCGGAGTCGAGAGAGCAGCAGAAATACGGGATACAGGATAGCCTGGGATCTGCAGGGAACAGCTGCAGCACAATCCTGGGAAAACTAATTTCTGCAAATAGCAAGGAAAAGAAATGGAACTATTTAATTACTCCTGTGCTGTGGAGGGCATGGAGTATTTGGAAGGCAATTACCACTTTTTGTTTTTGAAATTCGAGCTCTTTTGCCTTCAAACACTGAACAAGGGAAAGCATTTAGTTATGAGAGAGAAAGTAAATATATAAACTATTTAAAATTCATGTAATTCCTGGACCTTACCTCTAATTGTTGAGATACAGACTCACATTCTGACATCAGCTGTGGTATAACTTCACCCTGCTTTCGGAGCTCTTCCAGTTCCTTTGAAAACATAAAAGAGCAAAAATGAATGCAAGGTTCAATGTAAAACATAATGAAAACTTGAGACTATGAAATGACTTTGCATATTTTATTGTATTCTGTGCAGTATTTGGATGTAAAATAATCAAAATAGCAGGTCTGCCTTCCAAAACACATGCTAATTTTCTACTAGAATACATTTTTGCTCTCTATTTTTGACTTTGCATTTCTAAAACAGACAATATAATCCAATCTCTAGCATGAATGTCATTAATTATATTAATGAAATCTTAACCTAAAACACATACCTCTGCAAAATATGTACTCAATAAAGGCTGTAATGCTACAAGTAATTTATAGATGGTAGCAAAGAGCAAATTAGACATGAATTTTCAATGATATATAGCAGCAAAAGAAGGCCAATGGCATTATGAGCTGCATATATGAGGCATCATTACAGAGCACAGCTGTAATGGGCTCTCCTGCATCGTACAGCTCTGAGAACCCTCCCCCTGAAATCTGTATTCAGTTCTGGCATCACTATACTATACCACCACTGAGAGGACCAGCTGAAAGGAGTTCATGAAAAGAGCAACATGACTTGAGAGGAGACCATGTCTCTGTTGGAAATTAAGAGAGCTGGATACATGAACACCACAAGCAAACAGCACTTGTGTGGGTAGTCAAGAAAGACTGGAAGAAATCCTGTACATTTTACACAAGGATTATCAAAGATTCTGAAAAGCACGTTTGCAGGTCCAAGAGAAACTCTGTGACTTGAAGAGAGTGCAAGGTGCTCGCCTAGGAACTGCCCTTGTAGGTGACAGTCTCCAAGGTAAACAGGGTCTGTCCCCTCTGTGCTGTACAGACACAGGACAGCAACACCAACCCTGTCTGAAAGGGAAGTTTCTTAGCTAGGAAACACGATTTCTTCTCCAACAGGTGAACACACATCACAATGTGAGTGTAACAGAATCCAAAGTCAAGCCCTTCCACAGAGACTTAATGTTTTCTCCTCAAGGCCCCTAATTCCCTTGCTTTAAAGTACACCTAATATTCAGCACTTCCAGTCTCTCCTGAATTTCACAAGAATCCAGTGAATCCTGGAGAGCATTCTGCTTTCTTCTGAGGTTTGCCAAAAACACCATTACATCAATTTCTTTTTTTTTTTTAGAAATTCTGCAATTCCAGGACAACTCTTTTTTCAGTTTCCTCACAGTTTTTCAGCTTTACTTTACATTAATGTAAGAAGACAAATCAGATAATACCACAGATTTAATTTTTTTTTTGTGAATTCCACTGAAGAATTTCACTAATGTAAGAATAACTATATCAAGGCAATGTCCCAACTGCTGATACAGGGGAGAGAAAGGTTAACTCATTATTTGTTTTGAGATGTGAGCTTCAGTGCATATATATCTGCATATACACAAATAATGCTCAAGGGATCACATCTCAAAATATAAATATATTATACTAAATATAAATACATACTACTGTACTGTATATTTACTATATATAGTATAGTACAGTGTGTGTAAATATATGGCACATTGCATATGATATATATAAAAATAAAAGTATTTCATTAGATATATAGATATTTCACTTGATTCCCATGTATTTACAGTTCTCTCTCCTTGTTTCCCACGTGAAGAGGGTACGAGCATCTCCTACACAGCAACGTCCATGGGCAAGATCCATGCTGGTTTGAATTGCAAACCATGAAAAGGTTATTTACGGGTTGTTTAGGCCTAATGAAGAACCCTCTAATGTAAGAATGCAGCCTGAAAACAAGTTAAGATATTGTCAGTGGAAGTGGAAGATAGGCATGTAATATTTACAAGTCAATCCATTTTCTGGGTCATTTAGTACCATAAAAATGTGAATCTTGAGGAAATTGCTGACAGAGAATAAGGGTTATTATACATGCTATTATCACAGAAAGGTTGGGAAGAAAGCATGACATTTTCCTTTGAAATATGGGGCTGAAAAACATATTTATAACAGTACACCAAATCCATCTCCCTGAACTATTTCCTTGTGCCATCTTAAAACCCCTTAACAGGACTGCTTTTAAGAGCACCAGCAGAGATGCTGTAAATGCACATGGCAAACTTTACTGCACCTGCTGACAGCTTTTTCTCTTCAGCCAGCAAAGGACCCTCAGTCAACTGTAATAAAGGAAAAAAACAGGGATCCCATAATTTGCCCCACTGTTCAGGGGCTCCAAGCCATCAACATGATTCTCCATAGAAAAACATCCTTTATGTAAAAAACATGACAAACTGGAATCCTCTAAATGAATCCAAATTTCTCACTCTTGGCATTAGTCCTGAGATCAGAGGGAGACCATAAAACGGCCAAGCAGAGGACAAGCCATCCAGTGAAAGAAACAGGATTTGTTACTCAAATGCCAAGTTATTTTGTAAATTATGCCTTTTTAATGATGTTCCTGTTGCTTATGGGAATTCAGGACACAGGGACTGGCAACTGAATCTTTTATCAGGCTTTGGGCAACTTGTTACACCCCTCCAGCTCTTCTATTAGGAGTGAAGTGTTGTACACCTGAAAGTATCATGTTTGTTAACCACTGCCAAATTAAAGTGTATCACAGCACGTAAGACATCATTAAATTGAAACCTGAGGAACACTATCAAACCACTGCTGGAGTTCTACATAGGATATCTAGAAAGGGGTGACAACCTGAGACATTAGGCTTCTTCTAACTGTAGGTGAGCCAGTCCATAACTCTACATCCCAAGTGAGGAGGAGACAGATCCACTCAAACTCTGAAGTGGCCATTTCTGGGGTCAGGGAACTTACCAGCTCTTTGTCCTGAAGTTCTGTTTCCAGTTCCTGAAGACGTCTACTCAGCTGTGCGTTTCTTTCCTTCTCTTTATTTATTTCATTGCACTGTTCCTCCAGTTCTTCAATCTTTAAGAAATGTCAGACATGAAGCGAAATTTTTCAAATTTCTGAAAATCTGGGGCAGACCATGGCTGATGTAAAGGGGCACTGATTCACTGAGCAGAGGGAAGATGGGCAACTGTAGCTTCCCATGGATCTGTTTCTGGATCATAGTACTTAATTCACTGCAACAAAGTTAGTGCTCCTTTCCTTAAAAAGAGCAAATTGACAGATTCATTAAGAAGCCCTGGGACTGTGTTTATTCTCTCTCACACAGCATTTCATATAATTGCTCAAGAATGTGCTGCTAAAATAAGTGGGGCTGGGGAAAATCCACACTTCATTTCTATGAAACCAACACAAGACTGTAAGGGATAGTTTGTCTTAATGCAGCAAGGAGAATAAATCTCTCCACTACTCCCAGCTTTGCCTCCTCAGGGGTTGCTTATTATTTTAGCTGGAGTACAAGGGACACAACATCAGGAAGAATCAGTTCAGAGGAACATACACTGCTTTGTTCTCTCACCCAGGGACAAGCTTTCTCCATACCTCCTCCTCCAGTCCTCCTGGACTTAGTTCCCAGGAGATGCACATCCCACAGGCCGATGGGCCAGCTCATTAAAGGATGTACTTTAATTCTCAGCTTCATGTTGCTTTGGGATTATAACTTCCCACATTTGAAGGCAGAGCAATATACAAAGAATTCTGACCCAATTAAAAAAGGAGAAGGAGCTTCCCAGGGCTCTGCAGTGGTGCAGCGTGAGCACCAAGCAAGGAACCTACCTGGGAGAAAAGCTGAGAAAAACCTCTTTGCACAGAAAAAGACAGCACATTACCCAGACAGCAATGCTGCACAGTCTGGCTGGTCACTGGTAGGATGACTTTGCAGCTGTAGCAAGACTGTGTTTTTATAATCTCTTCATATCTAGGCTATAGGCACTGAGACGTGGCATGTTTCATTAGGCAATGTTAATAAAAACTACTTATTTCTTGTACAGAAAAGTAAAAAACTAGAATTTAGTAGTTAGTAATTAGTAGAAAATAGCAAATTATGCTATCTTCTTATATTGTCCTAGGTTCTCACTTCTCCCCTGTGCAACAGACTGGATATAGCAACCCAAATCATGTTACAATTAATATAAATTTGTTAAAATAACATCAGATCTGGTTTGAACTCTGAATTATCACTGTGCACACCTAAAACATATGTGAATAGATAGAAGGTATCTGCCTGGGGAAAAGGTTGCTCCATGTGGATTTCCAGTGTCAACAGGCAACCCAGACCACCTTCAATTCTGGAATATTATTTGCAGCCTACTGACATACAAAAAGACAGGAAATGCCTTCCCCTCTTCAAAAGCAAACACTTAACCAAAAAACAGTCCTCACCAGACTGATTCAATCTGAGCTCCACACCAAATGTCCCAGTGATCCATCTAAGTGAGTAGTGAAAGGGTCCAGCTTTTTCAAAGACATTTTAAGATGAGTAGAGTGAAATGATCCCTGCAAGCAGTGCTCATGGAAACCAGGCCCTCTGGTGCCCAGGCTGGGGCCAGCACTGTGTGGGGCTACTACCAGCTACTCAGAGAAAGCATGGTATTCTTTGATGGACAATACGAATGATTACTCTAAACTGAGGCTTTTAAAATGTTAAACTTCCCATTTGTTCTCTGCTGTAGCCACTGCTCACCCTGGGTGTTACACTACTAAGAAACACTGTGCTCAGTAACAGAGAGGAAAAGGATTCTGGGGATGCCCCTTGGCAGTTTTCTGGACGAGGTGGTCCCAATGTCAGCACTGGAGGAGCCAGCTCAAATCCCACAGTACTGAGGACACAACTCACATCCTCATTCCCCTGCCTGCCATCAGGATTTGCTTCTGATACTGACTGGTTCCAGGTGGTGTCCTGTGGGTAACCAGGCCATAACCTTGCCTTCTGCTCTTTCTGGCAGTATTTAAATGAACTCTGAAAGGTGTACATAATAGCAGTCCCACTTTTAAAACTTCTGGTTTATCACCTCTGCCAGTAGCCCTGGCCAACACTAACTCTCCCAAGTCAAACAGGGAGCTTCTCATGATGTGGCAGCACTGGTCCCATCCAGATCCCGTCCCTTTGAACTTCCCTGCCCGCTGGGTGCAGAGAAATTCATCTGCCTGAACGCCCTCTGCCCAGCTCCCTTTCAAAGACAAAAGCCATCTCCTAACGCACACAAAGATAAAGCAGCAGAAACGCAAGAGAAAGAGCAATGGCAGGAGCAGCTAACTGGAAGAGACAGCTTTCATGTGGGTACACTCTGCTACCTTGCTCCTGAGCTGGTCATTTTCCTCCTTGCAGGCTGAGAACTGCTTCTTCCAGTGCTCGATGCTGGCGGCCGACTCCTGCAGCGCCGTGGTCAGGCGGGCGTTGCTCTCCCGCAGCGTCTGCAGCTCTGTCTCCCATTTCTTCACGTTGGTTGAACTGAGGAAAACAGGGTGATATTAGGTGATATTCACCTTACCATCCTGCCTATCATTACTCCTTACCTGCCTGCAAACTCCCCCACCCATGGTACGTGGTTATCAATGACCTGTTGTTCCAAGATCAAGCACACACAGATGGATGTCACTGCCTTTAGCCATTGCCTGCCTAAGGAGATCACGAGCCTGAATCTGACTGCTCCTGCCAAAACAAAGGGCTCTATCAGCTCCAGCAAGACTGACCTGTGCTTCTGGAACAAACAGAAGATGTCAGGGGGTTGACACTACCTATACCTGACTTTCTTTTAATGCTCAGCCTTACGTATAAAACTGTTACAAAATGCTGAAGAACTAAACTACTCATTCCCCAAAGCCTCAGGCTGCAACACGAGCTGAGGGTGAATGGAAGGCAGGCTCTGAAGGGCCCCACACGCCAGCTGCTACTTGTCTGTGGAGGTGTCTTCAACAGGAGAACAAGCTAACATGATTTGAAATAGGTTATGCTCTTAAATTGTAAAGGAGATGATGTTCTGCAAATATAATACATGCAACCTTAGAAATTGCTCATTGGGTAATGCTGCATATGGTGCTGCCAATGTTTTAATTAGCTTTTCAAGAGTAGCTTGAGCCTGTTAGATTTTCTTTCCATTCACAGATATATTCACATGTAAGAAACAGACAAGGCAAGATCCCAGTAGAGAATTACTCTATTTTAGTGTCATAACTTTGCATATTCAGCAGGAGGAACAAGCTAACATGATTTGAAATAGGTTATGCTCTTAAATTGTAAAGGAGATGATGTTCTGCAAATATAATACATGCAACCTTAGAAATTGCTCATTGGGTAATGCTGCATATGGTGCTGCCAATGTTTTAATTAGCTTTTCAAGAGTAGCTTGAGCCTGTTAGATTTTCTTTCCATTCACAGATATATTCACATGTAAGAAACAGACAAGGCAAGATCCCAGTAGAGAATTACTCTATTTTAGTGTCATAACTTTGCATATTCCAATGCCTGTATTTTCACTACAGCTGCAAATTACTCTTGTCAGCATTTTCAAATAATTTATCAAAGCAAATAGCAGAAAAGTGACTTCAAGGTGCATTGTCCATAGCTTTAGACATATCCCCTAAGACTTCAAAGCAGCCCAGAGATTTCGTATTTCTCACTTCAACTTCTTATGATTGACTTCATTCCCTTTTTTAATTTTAAATATCCATATCTATTTTTATCAAAGTCTAGCAAACTCAAAGAGGAAGAAGGTATTCACATGTTATCAGTAGCAATTGCTCCCTTATGGCTTTAAAGTTATTTCTATAGCTCTAAAACTTAAAGTGGCTATAAGAGTTGGCATCAGAAGGGTAAAAAAGTTCTTATTTCATCACAAACTAGATCAGGAAAAAATTAAATGATAAGTATCTCTAAGCTGGATGCCAGAAGGCACTTGCTAAAACCTGCTCCTTCATCTATTCTGCTCCATAATTTTAAACTAATGCAATTACATTTAAATAATTTCTGTTAATACCATTAGCCATCAGATTATTACAGCATGCAATTCCAATGCAATTTAGGTATTTAAAGAAAGTCACCTTTGGGCTAGAGCAATTTTCAATTTATCATTCTCAGACTTGAGATGTGCCTCAGCAGGACCACCATGAGATGCCTTCTCATCGTCTGTCCCGTTCACACTAGATGCTTGAGTGGAAGATGGTGTTTCACGTCCAGATTCCTGCAGCACATCACACAAGGGAACACTGGGCATCTCCTGCAACACCACAACACCCATTTCTTTGTAATCTTGATCCCACCCCACCCTGCTGAGACTTAGGCTGCATCCACTCACCTAGTAAAACAATGCTAACAAACATATACCCTTTACATCTTGGCTGCAAAGTTGGTCTATTTAAAAAGAATGAAAAAATTATAATGATACATAAAAGGGAAGTTTAAAGTGTTAAAAAAAGAATGTTTTCTAAAGGTTGTTTGTTGTTTTTTGTGTTGGTTTTTTTTTTTTAAGATAATGAAACAACACAGTGGAAGTACACAAAGTCCAAACCAAAAATAATAATAAAAAAAGAAGATACTGGTGCTCCAGAGACACCTTTCATAGACTGTTTGGTGCTGATCACTACAGAGGACAAAGTCTGACCATGACTAGAGTCTTAAAAATATTAATACCCTCTCAGATTTGTATTTGTGGACCCCACAAAGGGAATTAGTTGCAAGACTAAGAGCATTCAGCAGCATTTTTCTGATCATGCATCTGAACTTCTCTCTGACCAAATTCATCTAAATCTCTTCCAAACATCAGACCATGCCAAGAACAGCTGCTGAAAGGGGTTCACTCTTAACTAACACAATGTGTATGAAATGACGAATGTACAGAGACTGGGACAACACTATTTCCTCAATCCAGATCTCCCTGGACACGAAGGCACTTGGCTATGTCAAGGTCTGCTGTCTATAAGAGTGTATCCTACAGATGCTACACAAGCTGCTGCTATCCACTTCCTCAAGCACTGCCTCTCTTCCCACACCCCAGCTTTCCCTCAGTCCCACCTAGGCCATGCAGCATCATGGTCACAAAGTCAGTCTCTCCACTGGCAGAGTGAACTCCTACAAAAGCAGACCAGACAGATGACAAGGAGCATCCAGATGAAGCTCATTTACTGTCTGCTTAAGCACTACACTGACTTACTTTCCAGTGACCTGAACTATCTGTAACAGTACCAATAAGATGTTGTGCATAGCTTTCCTTGTTATTAAAAAACTTTTAACAGCCCAAGAACTGCTGAAAAAATAGATATAAATGAAGTCAATGGATGGATAGATGGAAAATATTCCTCTGACAATGTTAATGTCCAGCAGCTGACAAATACCTTCACCAATCCTAATTTTATAGGCTTTCAGCTTGCTGCCAGAAGCTGGTATGGTCCATTAGAAAATTTAAATTATTTATTCTGTATGCACACAGGTATTAAAGCTAAATTACAAACCTGGGAATGATTGCTTGAGGTCTCAATTTTCTCTTGAGATCTGTCTCTTGCTAGTTTGGCAGCTTCTTTTACTTCTTGGAATTTCTCTGCAAACTAGAAAAAGCAGGAAAGATTTTTATTAAAATGACTGATTATCTATTAAACTGTTCTGATTACTGTATTTATATGGTTCACACATCTCTAAAAGGGAGCAACTAATTTTGATAATTTAAAAATTTTTGCAATAAAAAACATTTAAATTCTTTGGCAGGGAGGTTATTCTAAAAGGAATAGGGATGTTTCTAAAAGAGGGACATATTTGTAGCTCTGTCTGATTACAGTAAAAACCCATGGAGAAAAGGAGCTATCAGTGGGTTTTGGTTTGATTTGGTTTTATTTCCTCTCCCTCCTCTGTTTCATTGGATGCTGACAGTCCATTAAATTTGAAAGTATAAAAGATGTTTGGATAAAAAAATTATCAGTCTTCTATTTCTAAGAGCAATTACATTAAATTAAAGGATGTAAATGAGCTCATGAGACATCTGCAGGATGGAAGCAAGGGATTATAAAAACACAGAAAAAAGGAGAAAAAGGTAGATCTGAATGTACGACAGGGCTATATGAAAATACAGCTTTTCTGGTCAACTTTTCTTATTACTGACAAATATAAAGGTAGAAGACTTCAGGAGGAGGCTTGAATGTTTCCTGTAAGAGGGTTATATCAGGCTGGGGGAGGCAGGGGAAAGGAAAGATGAAAAGCAATGATCCCAAACCCTACAAGTTGCTGTAGGACATTGGCTGTGAAGCCAGTCTGGCACTTTTGAAATACAAGTATCACAGCCAGTCAGGGTTGCAGGGCTTAAACACTTTAAACAGTGTTTAATGTTTTAAAAGGAGGATTGCAAAGATCAAAGAAAAGGTGTATTTTTTTTCTTTTTTTTTTATTTAATTAAGATGTACCCTGTATAAGAATGGGCAACTTTGTCTTCCTGCTAAAGCAGCTAGGTCTTGGTTGCCTGTGTTTTGAGAAACTTGAAATGCTAGAAAGAGACATTAAAAGTGTATGTAAATAAATGTAATTTATTGTACAGTTTATGAATAAAAAGAGTGTCATTGTATACTCAGATAATTCAGAACACTTATGACAAAATTGTAAATAAAAGCATGGACATCATATTTCATAGTCAAAGAATGGGAAGAATCATTCATTATCCACTTACTAATCTTATCTTCTAACTTTTAGATTTACAGCAGGCATTTAGCACACTCTCTCTCAGTAAAATACTGGCACTATAGAGATGGATTAAACAAACCTTCTCCCACTTGTCTATGAGAAAACTGGATTTATATGTGGAAGCACCTGTCTTTTGTATAAAGACACATAAATGGAAACTTCCCACCAAAACACACACATCACTTGTGAATCCCCACGATGAGCACATTCTCAAAGCAGAGTGAAATTTTGGGTGTGACTAGAATCTGTGACAATGCTTATGAATGAAGATTGAGCTTTCAAATCCAGCTGTTTTCTATACAGTGACTGAAACTGCATATGCAGAGTGTGTGCTCTTGGATAGCATTTGCTATCTGCTGTCATGTGCAGTCACTACACACACAAATTACTTGATTACCTTTGTAGCACTATACAGATCATTAGGAAGAACTAAATTACATCTTCACCTTAACTGTTTTAACTCCAACTTTACACAAAATGTATCTCCTCCTGTGACAACAGCTACAAGAAACTCTCTAAAATATTGTAACAACAGGAAGTTCTACACTCGGCTTTCTCGCAAACAGTAAAGGGCTGTTTGAGTCTTTTGCAATAAATCTTTATGGGCAAGAATGAAAAATGTGTGAGGGTTCTTCATGAACCATATGAAATATTAAAAGACAAAAAGAATTGGAAGTCATCTATCAATTTTTATTTATGCAGCTATCTTCATAAAGCCCACAGGACACTGCTGTGAAAAATTATGTGAACTGAGAAGAAAATTATCTTTTTCCACATTTCCACTACAAAAAAACATTTATGTGACTGAGCAAAGTTAATCTTCAACATAACACTGACCATGATCTCATCACATGGTAGATTTTAGTCATGTCTCTAGTTTACTAACACATGTATTTAACATATTTGCTTTTAGAAACAAGTACAAGTAACTAAATTTTTCACCATCTTAGCTACAGATCTTAGGCTTTAAAAAATATTACCCTTCATTCTTACAGTTGTTAAAACATAAAGAGGGCTGTAACAGAAATGATGGTGAAAGACTCTGTTTTTTGTTTACCCCCCACACTTGGAAACAGTCAGTCCATAAAGAGTTCTGCTGCAGCTTCTTTTTCATTCTTGGCTAATTAACATCTACCAGATTTTACTAAAAGTCAATTTTTGAAAGCTGCAGAGGATCGCTTGGCTTGTTATGACATTCAAGCCTTTCACTTGATTACTCTTCTGAGTGCAGCAACACGGTGGTGAGAGCCCAACTTGCACAGCATTCCTAGCGCCAATCGCCACCAGAGCAGCTCAGGTGTTGCTGAAACTGATCCCAAGAGATCTCTGGGAGTGACTGGCATGGCCATAGTGTCCAATCACTATCAGAAGTTATTGCAGTGCTTTCCCTGCAGTAACTGATTTCTTCTGTCCCAAACATAAGTAATTGGCAGATTACTGATACTACAAAATCACGTGTCACCTCCAAGATCTAAGTTGACTTTGAGCTATCAAACCATTGCAGTGATAAGAAGTGCTTCTTAAACATGAAATTCCTAGCTAAAAAGTGAAATAATCATATTTTTAGGAAATGAAAACTTGGTAAATGTGGTCTCAGGGGGGCAATGCATGTATAACTACCCAAAATCAACTTAAGATCATCATGCATCTCCTCCTTCCATCTTTCACCCCTTTCATCTTCCCTTTCCTACACCCTTGTCCTTAGGCAGACCAAGTTCTCCAAAATAAAATAAGAAAAAAACCAAACAACTAAAGTAGGAGAAATGCCAACTAAACACTAATCCAATAGTCATGGATTATATGATGTGTCTTCCTGTGCCCCAGGAAGCTGTGAGACTAAGCTTCAATATGGAAAAGATTTGCTGCTACCAACATTTCTGAAGCCTCTCAGTCTAAGGCCACTGGAGCCCATGAGCCCCATTTGATTATGAGTCTTGGCCAGTGAAATGTAATTGGGACTCAAGGATGCTACTGTGCATTGCACAAATTATTTAAGGGCTGTTCAAATCTGCAGTCTGCTTGTCACCTGGAGAAATATATGCATATTTAAATAGACATTCTTAACATTTATACATTAAAAAGCATTACTTTGTATGTGTACATTTTAAGCTGCTGACCTGGCATAATATTTAATGTCTCCTACTGAGAAACTGTGCCAGTGTCAGGTAGGTGAAACAGCTGCTGCCACCCAAAGCAGCCTCATAAATATTTCATTGCCCTCTCGGTTTGCAGGAGGTTGGGGATGTGATGGTCCCATTGGGGAGCACTGCTGTGCCCTGACCCACAAGGCTTGTGTCACTTTGCCCATGGTTTTCCCTGGATGAGCCCTTAGGACTGGGCAGATGTAGAGCAAACAAGACTGTTTATCCCTCAAAGTGGCCAGCACTCTGCTCCAGCACAGCCACTGGCTGGGGTCTGTGCTGCAGGCTGGGGGCAGGGGCAGGCTCTGCGACGAGCCCACTCTCCAGTGCCTGGCAAATACCACACACATCATGTGCATGCTGGCATAGAAATAAAGTCCATTGCTTCTCAGATGCTGGGTGAAACTGCTTTATGATGTGCGAAGTCTGGGTTTACTGAGTTTCTCACCTATATAAATTTTTGTCCCTATGCCCTTCACTACCTACAGCTCCTCAGACAGCATGTCTGTGTTGCAGCATCCTGAATGAGAGCAGAAATATCACTTAACTGCTTCATGTGCAAAACACATCACCACCTTTATAGCACCAGCCTAGCCTCTTCATCACACCCAGGCACACCATCGATTCTCAACTATTTCAATTTGGCTGTAGCAATGCCTGAATAATGTCTTGAAACCTTTGTGAGGCACAGGGCAGGAAAGAGGGAAAGGACGGTCAGCGAGTCCTGCAAGAGGGGAAAAGGACCCTGAGTAGGACATCAACTTTAAGCCCTCCAATCAATGTGAATGGTAATTAGGTTACTAGGTCACTGAATGCAGTTTTCATTAAGAGCTCATGTTTAATTTGAACTGCTTTTCCCTATAGGTATGGATTAATACTTAATTATCTCAAGAGAGGAAATGCATTAGAAAAAGGCAGTATCTCTTATTAGGCCAACCAATATACTTAAAAATGCAGACATTTTTTGGCATGTTAACCTCTTCTTATGCCTCATTATTATTCATTGTTTTCAGCATTCATTTTTTCAGCTTTATTTATTTATTTTAAACCAGTGCTATTGATCTCTGATCTAGTGGAACTTTAGTGTGTCCTTCCAATTCCTGACTAAAAGCTTTGATTCTTTCCAGTAAAACCAGCAAGCTTAAATTGATATATTTTATAAGAATATATTCTTACATTAATATACAGTATGTTCAATATATTCTCTGATTCTCTAAGTATATCAACATAAAATGAAACTTAACTTTACTGTTCCAAATACATGTGTCATCTCTCCACCATCTCTGATCTTTTGTACTAATGGTTTAATAATTAAACTGAGGAGCATGGATGATAAAGGTTATCTTTGTCCCATTGCTTTGTATGGTGGCAATAAAACAGGTTTTCTGACATTTTCCAGACAGATAACTATCAGCTTTATTTATTTATTTTAAATAGATCACCTCAAGCCATTTCCAGAAATGCTCCCCTTAAGCTCCCCTTCAATACTCTGACCAGAAGAAGCTTTTCTACTGATTTGGAAAGCTGTTCCTGCAAGTAGAAGGCTGCATTATTGGCAGTGGGCTCTTCAGCAGATCCTGCAGAGCAAACAGATGTGCCAACCAATCTGCAGAGAAACACAGCTGGTGCTGAGGCCCCCATGCCCACATGGTGTGTTTTTCAGATTGGCTCTAGTCTGTATCATGCTTTACCTGCTACTCAAAACAAACTATTCCCCTAGGGCCACTTTCATCCTCCCATCTTCACATACTGCTCACTTAGCTACTATGAACACCTCTTCACTACAGGAGTGGAGAATACGCACAGGTGAAATCAGCAATCCTCTACACTTGAGTAAGCATCATAAAACATAACCAGCACCTCATTTAAAAAAAAAAACAGTTTTCCATGTGATTTGTTGAGTGGCCTTAATGTCCCAGAAGGGCAGATTGTTGCCATGGCACCTTTATGGACATCCCAACTCTAAAAATAATTTAAAGTGAAAAGTAAAATATGCTGTACCTTTAGGAAATACTTGCAAATAATTCAATTCTCTGGAAATTGCACTAGCTCAGTAAGAAAGACTTAGTAAAAAAAATCCTGTAACAATTCAGATGACAGAAAGGCCCTCTTATTGCAATGGTCTGCCTTTGCTATTTTAGACACAGGAAACATCTTGTTCTCCTGATTGTTTTCATACCAAAGCACACAAGAGGACAGCAGCACGAGAGGCTGTGTGCCATGCCCAAGGACACAATGTTAAGTTAACTGACAAAACCCAGTGCCAAGTAGTCATGCTTAAAGTGTCAACTACATGTTAGATAAGTAGGGGGTTTTACTGCATGAACAAACACACATCTCAGCTGCTTGATGGGCACTTGGTGAGACCACTTGTCTAATGACAGAGGATATATTTTACACTGCTGGTTATTCATTTCAAAAGGCAGCTCTAGACTTAACAAGCCTGCTATTGTAGCCAGTCCTTGGTCCAGGGAAGTGTCACATTAATACCAAACCCATGTTCAGGGTGCAGTTCTGAGATACAACTCTGCCAGCAAACCCGGAGTCAGACCTCCCCAGCTACTCACTCCGCCACAACTGTCACCTCCACAGGTCTGTGATAAAACCACTTTGGGTGAGGGCTGCAAACCACGCCACTGAGCTGAAATGCTGAAAATGCAGCAGGATATTAACCCAGATCAGTTTTCTGAGCCTCCCTGAGAGCACAGCCCCACCAGCAGTGCTGCCTGCACACCCAGGGCACCAGCGAGCCCTTAGCCACCAACAGCAGCAGGTCACCAAAACACGCATTTCTGAGGCCGGGATAACAACTCTCTTTCCTCAGAGTCATCACCCTGCCCTACTGCCAACAGTCCTGGCGTATCAGGGCTTCCCTTTGCTTTTGCTGCAGCTTTCAGCAGAAATGAGCGCAGGGGGCATGGAGATGCCAAAAAAATACTTTAGAGTTCATCTTGTTCCTGTAAACATCTGAAACCACAAATGCTTTCATCTCCTTTTCAGTGTTGAGGACACTTCACTAGTGCTATCGTCAGCGGTCAGATTTAATTGACAGTTTTGACCATAAGGTTTGTAATACTACCTGCTTCTGTAAATACAGGCACTGGGTTATTACAGGACATGGGCAGAGGTTGGGTGGGTATGTGCAATTCTTCATTAATAAGAAACAAGACACTCTGCAGAAATGCAATGAGCCCAGGTACCTTTGTCAGCTGCTGCTCAGAGGGAAAGCCCAAGCCAAAGACAGTGTTTGCTCTGCTGTCCGCCCACTGGCCAAACTTCTGCGATGTTTTGGTGAAGGTCATGTTAGGTGTGATTGTGCTGTTTATGATCACCTGTTTAAACACAGATAAAAAAGAATTTAAAAGTAGAATCCACATGGGAAATGCATATCCTAGCAACAGTATCTTCCAAAGCAATTAGTGGTCTAAATTGGGAAATTGCTGTATTCGGATTTTTTCCCCAAACAAAACAGTTTCTATCTTCTCCTACTTCATGCAGGAATTTTGATGTTTTGTCTTCTTTTTCCACAGCAGTGTCATAGTTCAGCACTTATACACTGCTGCAGG